GATTGAATTGAATTTTGATAGAAATTTGCAAAAAATTTTACTAAAGAAAGTACTTTTTTTATTTTTTAGATTGCATTTTAACAGAAATAGATTAGATATTAATAAAATTTGATAAAATAGCGATTAAATTAGATCTTAATAAAATTTGATAAAATAGCGATTAAATTAGATCTTAATAAAATTTGATAAAGTAGAGATTAGATTAGATTATGATGAAATTTAATGAAAATTTTAACACTTTCTTTTGTTTCCAACAAATAATTCGAACAATATTTCGTAGTCTTAATTAATGAAAATTTTTAATTAATGAATGAATGCATTATTTAAATGATAGAAGACAAAAAAGAGTTTCATTTTAATAATTTATAATACTTAATAATTATGACAAGATATTTACTGCTAAATATTTCGATGACTATTAGAGCAAAATATTTTATAAAAAAGAAAAATTATAACGCTGATATCTAATTATTATTTATTTGGATTCATTTTTAAAAAAAAATGAAATTTTTTATTTAATAACTTAATTAGGTTTGTGTTAATAATGATATTAAGTTGCATATTGTTGTATGTTAGTTTTTTTTTTCAACTTTAATTGTTTGTAATTACTCAAAGAAAATTGACACATACGGTTATTAATTGTGACAAGTTATCCTGGGATAATTTGGGATAATTTGATATAATTTGTCACATAATTAGTTAAATGTCCTCTAACATTTTCCTTCTTTTGCAATATTGTGAAATAAATCACGAATTAGAAATAGTTTAGTAAATAATTAAAATGTATTAAAATGAAATTAAAAGATATGGTGGAGAAGTTGCAATTATTTGAATATTTATTATTCATATTGTCAATTATTGCATTTAATTATTGCTTATACTTTCTCATTTACTGTATAATTACGGTATCACTTTAAATGATATTTTAATAGAAATTTGACTTTAATATATTTCCAGAAAATTTTTCATTTATTTCATCATTGAAATTTTTATATAAAATAAGCAAAAAAACGAAAACTAACGAACATTTGATGGTTTATGATCAGTTGAAAGTGGTATAGCATTACCAGTAATATCACATGCAACAGCACGAGAATCACCAATATTTATGACGGTTAAGAAACGGTTACGTTCCAGTATTACTGAAATCAGCGTTGAACCTATAAAATTTAAATTTTAGATTTAGTATCGTAATTAAAATTATAATCTGGAACATTTATTTGTTTTTAATGGCTTATCAACCAATATAACAGAATGATTTGTCAACCAATATCAATGATAACATTATATCAATCGATATATTAAATTAATTTTTTGTTTCTACAAAAGAGAGAGGCCAATTATTATATGATTTCATTAGCACTTTTTTTTTTTAGGAAAATATTTGGAAAAAAAAGAGATAAAGTTTATTTCTAAATTGTTATTAGCTACTATAAATGTAAAAATAATTAAGTAATGAAATTATAAAATTTATTATTAAAAAAATTGCATATTTTAGATGTTCTTATTGTATTTACGAATTCCAAAGACAGGAATTAAAATGCTCAAAAATTTTAATTCCTACATGTATTGATGTGTAAAAGTTGAGATTTCATCCACTCAATAATTAATATTTTTGCTGTTTTCAAATTTGCAAGATAGTTTGTTAAAAATCAAATTAACAATTAGAATGATAAATTATCATTCAATATAAACTCATTTATCACTTCTATGAATCAGATTCATTCTTTGAAATGTAAGGAAATGAAATGATTTGTAAAAATTGTTAAAATTTTTAAATTTTTTGAATGCAAAAAAATATTCTCATGTTGAAATGTATTAATATTATTGTCGCTGATATCGCCAGTAGAAACAAATGGACAATAATCTCCCTTTTTTTTTTTTGAAAGCCAGACATCTTTGTTTTATATGCTCATATCGTCTTACATTTGCTCTAACAAAAAACCCAACACTGATGGGTGCTCCATAAGGATGCTAATTCTTGTAATCATAAAACGGTACAAGGACCCTCCCAATCGAAGAAGCGGAGGGTCCTGAGCACTGATCCATTTTTACAAATGTGTTTCATTGAGGTCGGTTGGATATAAGATATCGGGGGTGATTTGTGTTTTTGTTCTTGTGTATTCGTTACTAATTTGTTGTATCAATGTCATATTTGCAAGTTCGTTGTTGTATTAATAAATTTATCGTAATAAAAGGTTTAATTACTCAAGTTTGAGATACTATCAACTAAAGAGGCAGAAAGAACCCTCAGTTTTTGTCACGACTGAAGAAAATCGGCGACAATTATATTTGTAAAAATTATACCAAAAAACAAAGAACAAAGAAATGAGTGGTTTTGAAATGGCAAGATTTACAAAATATTTTTAATAAAATTAAAATTTTCGATTCTTCTTTTTTCTTTAAATTTACTATTTGTAAACACAAAGACAAACTGTTAGTTTTCCTGTAGGTTTAATTAAAGTAATTAAGGAAAATAGCCGTAATAGTAGTAGGATTTTTAATACTTTTTAGAATTTTACATTAGTAATAATAGCATACCAGTTAATGAACTTGACGATGGATGTAATCTTACGATTTCATCGTCAATATTGCGCACTTCTGTTATTATTGCCTAAATAATTCATATTTTTATTTTGTGAACTTAAGAAAAAATGAAAAATAAAATTATTAAATCTACCCATTCCTTCATTAATACAATTAATCATTCAAAAAAGATTTATCTAAATTGAATATTTTATTAAATTTATAAGTTTTTTAGACATTAACGATAAAAATCAATTTTGCATATCATTTGCAAATTGTTTTGTTTTAGTGTAAAATATATTTTTAGCAAAATTTTCAATATTTTTTAGAATTCTACATTTCATTTTACTAATTTCACTGGATAATTGGATAAAAAGTAGTACGGAGAAAGGGGCATTCTCAAACTAATTAGATATTTTTGAATTAATTAAAGTCAGTAATTATATTTTTCGGAATTAAAAAAATAAAATTGCAAACATTTCCATGAAATAAAAGAAAAGGGATGGAAAGGAATGCTAATTGGCTAAGAAAAAAGGAAAAAAACTAGTTTTGATCAGTTTTTCAAAATTTCCATTTTTGCATTTAATATTTTTCATCAATCTATACAACATTTCTTGCCATATTTTTAAGCATTAATTAATGTAATTATCACATATTTCAGGAAAATATAAACTTTTTCAAATGAAAGATTAATCGTAACAAAGTTTAGTAAAAATTCAAGTTTTCCTTCGGAAAATTACAAAAAAAAGCAAGCAAAAAATAAAGAATAATTCGAACATTCATCAACGGGAACAGTAAAATGAGATAGATTAAATTCACATTTCAAAAAACAAAAAATTAGGGATAAAAAGGAAATTAAGTAATTTTATGTTTCATATTTCACTCTTTATTTCTACTGAAGATTCACAAAGAATTATTGTAAAATCATACCGATAGTTTTAGTGAAATTTTTAAAATAATTTTAAATATGCAAGATAAATACTTGAAAAATTCTCAGATGTTGTTACGAGATAAAAATTAGCTGATAAGATGCAATAATGAAAAACTTCGAATGAAGTATACCTCGATGACATGATCATTAGAATGTCCTGTCAAACTTGGTTGACTTTCCGAGCAGCCACGTAATAATCGTTGTCTTATTGCAACCGAGAAATGTTCTTGCAGATATTGTGATACGAACTTAAATAATTGATTAATAATTTATTTGAATACAATAAAATTACAGTGAAATTTTGAAATAATTGTAATACAGACATGACAATGTGTTAAACAAACTTTATCATAAAAATAATTTCTAGTGTTTGTCATTTCTGATTTTATTTAATTTAAATTAAAAGTATTTTACTATTAATTTGAATTTAAGTATTTTGTGCAAAATATGTATTAGTCGTCATGATTATTTTGTTACAAAGAAAAAAAAATGTATAATTAAAAATTTGGGCATTTCAATACATAACGCATAACAATAAATATGCTTGATATCGATCTATAAAATGTATTTATGAAAGAAATTAGTAATTTTAATCAAAATACTTCAAAGTTCAATTAGTCTAAAATTCAGAAATCTAAAAAGATTGCCATATTTTATTGTGTACTAAAATTAGAAATGTTAGTTGCATTAAAGAGGCAAGGAGACATATATTACCAAAAAAAAAATATTGAAATAAGTTCAAATGAAAGTAACTTTAAGGTAAAAATTTGAAACTTTAAATGATTTAATAAAAAGGCTAATCAACATCTTCACATTTTTGGAAGTGATATAGTATCTTGCATCATTGTCATGTTCCACTTAAGTATCGTAACAGTATCTTGCATCATTATCATGTTCTACGTAAGTATCGTAACAGTATCCTGCATCATTAAATATCGTACTCTCATTACTTCCTATTAACCGAGTTGTTTTTTTT